ATGCTCATTGTCTATGGAAATAGATCTGTCCTTTTTTTACTCGTAGCAAATCTGGTTACCTCCCATTTTTCCCAGGTGCTTTGTGGTTCCTACAGGTTAAGCGCTAACCCATAATTACAAATGATGTTGGATAAGAATATCGTCCACACAGTTTGGTTTATATCCCTCTCCTTTAGTGTTAACAGTCTCTCTAAGTGAGAGGGGTTGGATCTGAGTGGGACCTGCACCTGAGTAAATAGAAATATCAAAGCTAATTGCTTGGATAGCGTTTATTCTAATAAAGTTGGTAGAATTACCGACAATATGTAAAGTAAAAGGACACAAGTGCAACTAATGTGACATTTATTGTGGCAACGTTTCGCTCTCCAGGAGCTTTATCAAGCCATTACAAACAATACATGGACACAGAGGGTATATAAAGGCTCAGAGTGAGGTGCAATACTAGTGAGGTACCATTTCGATGTTCACTAGTGGTAGTGGTAGTAGTAGTAGTAGTAGTAGTAGTGGTAGAGCAATTAATGGTAGAGCAATTAATGGTAGAGCAATTAATTCGTACATGAGTAAAAGGATATAAAAGCTATTACTTGGGTAACATAAAAATAGGTTGGACAAATATAGAGTGGAAAGAGGCAGCTTGTTTCAGTGTTCACTCTCTGTAATGTGGTTTGTGTAGTATAACAGGAGAGACTATGTGATGGCAGGGTTTACTGTTTTCAGGAGGATTCTTGCTAAGACTTCGGAGATGGTGAAGCTGCCGTTGTTTTGTTTAATTGTATTTGAAACAGCGATCATTGCTGATTCGAGGCACTTTCGTCTGCGGAAATTAGTTTCTTTGATCACTAATTGGGCGTCTCTGAATTTCATGAGATGATTGGTGGAATTTCGGTGTTGTACACAGGCGTTGTTCAAGTTATCGTTCCTACATGCGTAAATGTGTTCATTGAGGCGGGTGTCGAGGTTTCTTGCTGTTTCACCTACGTAAATCTTGTCACAGCCTCCACAGGGTATAGTGTAAACTCCTGCAAGGAATATGAGGGCCAATCTTCAGATTGACTAACACACTGCTGAGCATATTCTCAGCACAGTAACCACAGCTAACCTCCAATAGAAGATCAAACTCAATCGCAAACTTCAGTACCTCTGCACTAACAGTCGATGGAAGGGAATGGGACGCAAATCCCTGATAAACAACTTATCGTCACGCACCTTAACCAACTACGAAAAACAAGCACTGAGTCTGGGACTCAAATTTACCACCAACATACGCAAACCTAACTATCAACTCAATCTAGTTACCAGGAACCATAGACACAGTGACAGCAACTTCCAGAAGGGTTACATACAGGGCCTTCTCAATGCAGCTTTATGTGAACCTTCTTCTAATCTTCCTAGACGATACATCACTGCCCTTAAGAACCTCGCCAACGACCCCAACATTATCGTCACCACCGCCGACAAAGGAGGTGGAGTCGTCATACTCAACACCAGTGACTACAACACTAAAATGATGGACCTTTTGAATGTGAAGTAAAAGGACACAAGTGCAACTAATGTGACATTTTATTGTGGCAACGTTTCGCTCTCCAGGAGCTTTATCAAGCCATTACAAACAATACATGGACACAGTCTGATCCTATATATACCCTCTGTGTCCATGTATTGTTTGTAATGGCTTGATAAAGCTCCTGGAGAGCGAAACGTTGCCACAATAAAATGTCACATTAGTTGCACTTGTGTCCTTTTACTTTACATATTGTCGGTAATTCTACCAACTTTATTACAACCTTTTGAATGATCAATCTACATACGAACCCATCAGCACTCAACAGTGGGAGACGCTCACCAAAGATTTTCTATACAAAACCAGACAAATACTCAAACGCACTAGAGAAGGGAAGAAACTTCTGTACTTGTTACCAAGCAACCCTAAACCAGCACACATGTATGGTTTACCCAAGACCCATAAACACAATATTCCTCTCAGACCTATCACGTCAGGAATAGGCAGTGTTCCACACAAACTAGCCGGAGTTCTTGCCAAACATCTTTCCTGCCTTCTGGGGACCATCAGCCCGCTCATCTTAAACACTCAGGCGACCTTCTCAACCCATCCGTAACCTCTCCATCCGTAACAAGAAAACTAAGCAGTTTGGATGTGACTTCCCTTTTTCACAAAGTACCCTACCAAAAAAAAGCAATCGAGGTTCTACGACGTAAAGTCAATCAGGACCTTAAACTTCCTCTACCTCCGGAGATTTTTGGGTTGACTTGATTGAAATCTGTGTTAATTTCAACTGTTTTTCTTTCAATAACAAGCTCTACAAACAAACCTACGGCATGGGAATGGGGTCCCCCATCGTGCCGTCCTAGCCAACTTATACATGGAACATCTAGAGTCCGAACACTTCGCCAAATCATCCCTTCAAGCGTCACTTGGTTACGTTTACGTGGACGATGTCCTCGAAATAACTCCAAAACGTTTGATGTGCGGGATCTTCAGGCAAGGCTCAACGCAGTTGAACCGGCGATCCAGTTTACACTAGAGAAAAAGTCCAATGACAAGCTACCTTTCCTCGACGTCCTCATTCACAAAGTAGACAACAACCTAAGATTTCAAGTTTATGGGAAAACCCACCAATAAAATTGATCTCACACACTTCTATTCCAATCAAGATACCAAGACCAAAAGAGGCATCATCATCGGGTTTTTCCTAAGAGCATACCGAATTTGTAGTCCTGAGTTTTCTTGACGAGGAATGTACATACATTCACCAAACATTCACTGAGTTACATTTTCCTTTTTTTTCATCAAAGACTGCAAGAAAGAGCTCTTCAGATCATTAATTCTCCACGCATCAACCCCACCCAACAAAGTTTATTCTTCCCAACAGCCAGGTTGCACTGAAAAGTCTCAAAAGTACTTTCACAAGCTAACACCCGAGTCGCCACGCTCTAGCACTTCAATAAAAGGATCTAACCAGGACAAAAGCACACACGAACCCCCAGTCAATGCAGGAGTTTTACACTATACCCTGTGGAGGTTTTTGACAAGATTTACGTAGGTGAAACAGCAAGAAACCTCGACACCGCCCTCAATGAACACATTTACGCATGTTAAAAGGAACGATAACTTGAACAACGCCTGTGTACAACACCGAAATTCCACCAATATCTCATGAAATTCAGAGACGCCCAATTTTGTGATCAAAGAAACTAATTTCCGCAGACGCAAGTGCCCCGAATCAGCACTGATCGCTGTTTTTCAAATACAATTAAAAAAAACAACGGCAGCTTCACCATCTCCGAAGTCTTAGCAAGAATCCTCTGAAAACAGTAAACCCTGCCATCACATAGTCTCTCCTGTTATACTACACAAAGCACATTACAGAGAGTGAACAGTGAAACAAGCTGCCTCTTTCCCACTCTATTTTTTGTCCAAACCCATTTTTATGTTACCCAAGTAATAGCTTTTATATCCTTTTACTCATGTACGAATTAATTGCTCTACCATATTGTATTACTTTTGTCACTACCCACTACTACTACTAATATACTACTACTACTACTAACCCCTACTACTACTACTACTACTACTACCACTACCACTAGTGAACATCGAAATGGTACCTCACTAGTATTGCACCTCACTCTGAGCCTTTATATACCCTGTGTGTCCGTTTTATTGTTTGTAATGGCTTGATAAAGCTCCTGGAGAGGAAACGTTGCCACAATAAAAGTCACATTAGTTGCACTTGTGTCCTTTTACTTTACAGCGTTTATTTTGTTAGTGGGTTGGATTTGTGAAGGACCTGCCTAGTTATGGGCCAACAGGCCTACTGCAGTGTTCCTCCTGTCTTATGTTCTTATTTTGATTTCACTCTTTCAGTCATTCTAGCACAGTTTATTAGGTCATATTTTGACTCCTTGCTTTTATTTAAAAGACTTGAATAATCTCTGTTTTGAGGGGAGAGGAAGGAGGGGGGTGGGAAAGGGTGGTGTTAATGCTGGGGAAGAGAAGCGTCAGAAGACAGGGTTTAAAAGGGCGGTGTGGGCTGCCTTCTTGGAGGCGAGCATGGGTGGAGGTGGCCTGTATGGGCGTAGATAAGGGCATGAACATAGATATATGCATGAGTAGATATGGGCATGAACATAGGTTGAGGCACCTGTCCGTAGAGCTGAAATCTCTGAATGTTCGTTGTACATGGTTTGTGTTCTTACTGCCCAGCGTCAGTGTCAACGCTCTACATAAACACTATTTTTTTTTTAATATCTTGATGCAAACTTGCCTGTTAGGTGCACAAAACACAAAGTACCAACAAAGTACCTTTTCATTCTTTTTGTTTTTGTATTCTGTACATGGAAATTCCTAATACGCAAGAGAACTAGCCTCATAAGCTTCATAATATTCTAAGTACGATTTTTCTCGTGGATGGTGTATTGCTTTTCTTTGCATTATCTACCTATGACCGCTGATAAAGTATTTTAATTATAATTATTGCAATGGAGGCTACACCATTTTATTAAATTTTATACGAGAAAGGTTTGAAAGCCGCTCTTCAGGACGAAACTTACAGATGTGGCAACAAGGAAGCTGATTCTTCAGTTGATCTCATTTAGTTGAGTTAAACTGGACATCAACTTCCTTGCAACTCGCTCTCCTAATTCCTCTGTCGATTTGTTGCATACTGTTTTAAGCAAATTTCTGGATTTACGATATGTTGGTTAGGTTAAGATAGGCTAAATTTGATTGTGTCCCATTACAAGAAGAATCCAGTTACAAACTGCATAAAGGAGATTAATTGTATAACGATGTTTCGGTCTGACTTGGACCATTAACCAGTTTTGTTTGCTTAATGGTCCAAGTTGGGCCACGATATTGTGACTATTTCTCAACGAAAATACAATTATGCAAAGAATTGATGCATTAATTTAAGTGATATAGTATGCTCTCCCTGCCATACTCTCCATCTAAAGGCTAATCAGTCCCCATCCTTGTCTAGGCGGACCCGGGCTGGCTGATCCACTACCCTACCAAGGAAGACCCAGAGACGGGTCTCGAGACCGCGACTCTTGGTCTGCGCTTTCCACTAAGACCCAGACTACTACGGCTGGGCAGTGTCTCCATCATGTGCACAGCTTCCATCTTTAATCTCTATCTGAAGAGTACCGAGGTCTTAGTCCTTGCCGATGTACCCTTCCACGCCTCCATCATGGAGGGCAGGGCGGCCGCTGGTCCAGGTGAGTGGTGGGCTGGAGGAGGTGGGTGGTTAACTGGGCGATGTGGATGGTGGGTTGAACGGGTAGGATAGGATGCTAGGTTTGACGACCTGAGGTGGTGGTGGGCAGGAGTAGGAGGGAGTGGTGACTGGGCTAGGGGGTAATGGGCTGCATTAACAGGGGATAGATTGGACTAGGGGATCATGATAGGCTAGTGTGGAGAAAGACACTTATGTACAGTTCAGGACATTTATTAAAGGAAACGTTTCGCCACGAGTGGCTTCTTCAGTCCTAATAGGTATTAGGACTGAAGAAGCCACTCGTGGCGAAACGTTTCCTTTAATAAATGTCCTGAACTGTACATAAGTGTCTTTCTCCACATCTTGTCGGTATCACCATACCATTTCCTCATGCTAGGCTAGGGTTGGACAAAGGGTTGGTAGGCGGGTCTTGAGGTGTAAGGTGGACTAAGGTGGTGGGCTGGGTTATGGAGTGGGCTGTACTAGTGAGGTGATTTGGACCAGAACTGGACTAGACTAGACTGCACTAGAAAGTTGGCAGGATCAGGTGGTGGGTTGGACTAGAAGGTGGCCTGGTCTAATGTTGAGGGGTTGAGCTGGACTGAGAGGTGAGCTGGATTGAAGGGAGGTGGACTGGACTATGGGTTGGGATAGACTAGAGGAAAAGACTGTCCTGAAGAATGGGCTGGACTGGGGATGTGGGCTGGACTTGGGGTGGTTCCTTGACTAGAAGAATGGCAAGACTAGGTGGTGGGGTGGACTAAGGAGCAGGTTGGACTCAGTGTTAGATGAAGATTAGGTCCCTAGGCTACATAACATAGTCTTCATCCAGCCTCCAGTAATATTTTCTAAAGAAAGAAAACGTAAAGAAATATTAAATTGATTTTTACATAGCTAACTATTATTAAAATTCAAAAATTTGCTTTTCGTAATTTCTTTGAAACAAGTTTTTCCAAAACATCAATAAGCTGTAAGTTATTGAGAACATCGTTTTCAGTTGTCATGAAAGCTAGTCTGTTTAGGCGCTCTTGCGCCATTATCGATCTATGTACATTCTTTAGAGGATTTATTTTAGAGAAACTACACTCTCCACTGGCATTAGTTGTCATTAAATACAGCTTGGGAAATAAAGAAGTTAATCTATTGTTTACTACAAGGGTGTAGATATCAGATGCTTCCAGTGTTTCCTGCGTGTAGCGGAATTCATCCAACTGCCCAACAAATACCGTTGTTCGATACATACTGCACAAGAGTTGAACGCAGTTTTCAGCCACATTAGAGCTTTCAATAACCCAGCAAATTGGTTGTAAGCAAGAGGCATTATCCCTTGCTCCTCTTGGCTTCAACAGAATATTGTAGAATGAGCAATGAGGTCCTTTTATACAATAACGTGACGGCTTGTTCAAAATTAGATTTATTTTTAGTTAAGATTAATTGTACAAAGCAAAATTGGATCTTATACGGGAATTAGGGCCCACTTTTCTTGTTTTTTTTTGATTGAATCATCGTTTGTCTCAGAATCTGTGGGAGAATAATCATAATCGTTTTTCCCTTAAAAATTACAAATGCTTCTCCCTTTAAATAAGTTCCTTTAATGTACCCTTTTTTTGGGAAGTGCGAAATTTCTAAGACAGTTACCAGATTTATTTATATTTGGTAAGTAAAGTCATTTATATCACATCCAGTGTCTTCCTCGGAAGCTTCAGATGTCTCCCTTTAAATATGTCCATTTAAAAGAACCCATTTTCTAGAGGTGAAGAAACTCTTAAGATAATTGCCAGTGATATCTATATTTGGTATGTAAAGTTATTTATATATATCCTAGGGACACTACCCAAACCACCACAAAAACAGTAAATATACAACCATCTAAAACCGTAAATATACAACCATCATTGCACAAGACCGTGGCCCACAGTACAGATGTTGGAGAGGAGTCTCCTCCTTCTTCCTCTACTGGGGAAAGTAGATGGAATCCAGGACGGGGTGGCCCTGGCTTGGATACTGACGATTATAGTGTAGTCCCAGAACCTGCAGAAATTGACAACACACCTCCCAACAATTCTCAACCAAAGGTGAATTTGTGCAAATATTATGCTTGGGGCATCTGTAAGCATGGAATAACAGGGGAAAAAAAAATGGGACATGCAACTTTGACCACCCCAAAAAAAATGTAGCGCCCTCCTGTCTAAAGGAGTGTGTCGTTCTTCTTCCTGTACTTTCTTTCCCCCAAAAATGTCCCACTCCTCGGTCCTCAGAAGCAGTGTTTACAACATCGAGTGCCTGCTACCATCTAAAGGGAACCAGGAGCACAGACCCCACAAGACAAATAATAGTAGCTACGACAACCCAACTCCAGGTGATTTTTTAGTGGCGGGAAAACGAAAAAAAGAAAATGGAAGGAAATAACAAAATAGTCCACCCCCTTGGAGCCTTGTTGGACTGGAGGCGCAGCCAGTGGCCACCCAAGGGCCCCTCCAGAATTACAACTACTGATGCCAAAAACAAAATCCCCCCAACAAACACAGAATACAACCTCGTTCATATTTGCTAATATACGGGCCTTAAGCCATCCACCAAAAACAAAATACCTTTTATCAGTGGGACTTTAGGGGAAAGTCAAATTTGCATGTTTGCAGCCTTCACAGAGACTCACACAAAAAATCACTTGACGTGAAATATGGATAAGTGGTTACAACCTTTTTAGATGCGACAAAAAAAAAAAAGGCAACAAGGGGGCGTTGGCCTGTATGTCAAAGAGTCCCTTATCTGCACGGAGTTGCTAAAACACCACAAATGAGGTATTTGGGAAGTTCTATCAAAAAGATCGAGAACCAAAACCTAGTCATTGTGGTTGTATACAAGCCACCAGATGCAACCTCACAACAGTTCAAGGAACAGCTACTGAAAATCGATTACGGGTTTGGGAAAAACCTTCCAGCTCCATCCCCAAAATCTTACTGCTTGGTGATTTCAACCTAAGGCATACAAAATGGAAGAATGTAGCAAATAATTTTTATAGCTGAAACAATCCCCGGAGGTAGCGCAGATGAAAGGTCACAAAACCATTAGCTACTAAGTCTCTGCGAAAAAAACACACCTTAAGCCAGCGATAGTGGAGCCAAAAAAGACTAGAAAACCACACTTGACCTTATCTTAAAAAATAATGAGGACCTGATAAGAGACATAAGAATATCAAAAACAACTAATTCCGATCACAATCTAATCGAAGTCCAGACGTACATGCATAGGGTCCTGAACAGCAGAATGCATGGTCCCTGTGAAGGTGTCTTCACAAAATACAATTTCAACAACAAGAACATCAACTGGGACCAGGTAAACCATGTCCTAACAAAACCCTGTTGGGAAGATGTCTTAAATGACATGGATCCAAACCAGGCCTTGAAAGGATCAACTTCCTGGTAGCGAAGCATGTTTAGGCATATTCCCCTAAGAAAGAAGAAGAGCAGGATGTTTAAAATGGAGAGAAAAAGACGCTCCCTCTACAGAGACGACGAAGAGTCACTGAGCTCCTCAGGAGTGCTAGAAAATCTGATACTCGAAAGGAGGCGTCACCCGGGAAGTGGAAACTATTTGAAAATTAAGCTAAATGACTCTTACAGGAACCAGGAGAGGCGGAGGAGCTTAAAGTAATTAGTGAAATGAAAGAAATTAAAATATTTCTTTTCATATGCCAAAAACAGGCAAATACCACATCTAGTTCGGGCCCTTACTCAGACGGATGGGACTTACACAGATGACAACAAGGAAATGAGTGAAATATTGAAAATCCCAGTAAAGACTCTGGGGTTTAGTGAACCCCTAATCGGTCTGAGGATCGACGACCCAAATGATTTCTTCATGAATGAGCCTCAAAACTCCATAAATGTATGCCAGATTTTGACATTACCTAACTCCTATAGATTTCGAAAAAGCCAAATTTACAACATGCCTATGCACTCAGCCCGGGCCCAGACTCGTGGAACTCTGTTTTCATTAAGAACTGCAGAAACCCCTCTCGCGTGCCCCAAGTACATATGGAGGGGAGGGTTGGACATTTGGGGTGTGAAATTCCACAGTCACTTAAAAAAAACGGATATAGCCCAAGTCCATAAAGGTGGCAGCAAAGCATTAGCTAAGAACTATGACCAATAGCTTGACGTCCCCATCATAAAAAAACTTTGAAAGAGTGCTAAGAAGGGAGGATTGCAAATCACCTGGATTCCCAAAATCTGCACAATCCAGGGCAACATGGGTTCAGGGCAGGTCGCTCCTGCCTCTCACAACTACTGGATCACTATGACATGGCCTTGGATGCACTGGAAGAAAATCAGAATGCAGATGTAATATACACAGACTTTGCAAAAGCATTTGACAAATGCGATCATGGCGTAATAGCCCATAAAATACGTGCTAAAGGAATAACTGGGAAAGTGAGGAGATGATCTTCAACTTCCTAACAAATCGAACACAAAGAGTTAGTGGTCAAAAGGTTTTAAAACGGAGGCTGCCAATAGTGAAGAGCTCTGTTCCAAAAAGGCCAGTACTCGCCCCCATTCTTATTCCTTATCTCATATCAGACATAAACAGAGATATACACCCCAGCACCGTATCATTTCCCTTTGCGGATGATACTAGGATCTGCATGAGGCTGTCATCTGCTGAGGACGCGTTAACCTCAAGAAGATATAAAACAAAGTTTTCCAGTGGGCAACGGTTAAACAATTTTGTGTTCAATAAGGACAAAATTCCAACTTTCTCCGTTATGGAAAATGGAGGAGATAATAACTAGAAGGTATACTACTGACTCCGGCCATACAATAGAGCGGGGAAAATAATGTAAGGGACCCGGGAAATAGTAATGTCTGAGGATCTCCCTTTCAAGGATCACAACAGTGCCACGATCGCACGTTTCAAAGAAAATGATAGGATGGATATGAGAACTTTCAAAAAGAGAGATGCCAAGCCCATGATGATCTTTTCAATCACTTGTTCTCTCTA